GTGTGAGGCAGGATTGTGGTGTGGTGTTGAGGCAGTAGTGTGAGGCAGCGTGGGGCAGGATTGTGGTGTGGTGTTGAGACATTGTGGGGCAGGATTGTGGTGTGGTGTTGAGGCAGGATTGTGGTGTGGCGTTGAGGCATTGTGAGGCAGCAGTGTGAGGCACTACTGCGGTGGGGTGGTGAGGCAGTGGTGAAACCGGTTACGGGTGAGAATTATTCTGATTAATGTCAATAATAGAGGATAAGCTGCAGGATTTAGCAGCACATTGTCTTGTCATGGCTGGAAACTGTGCTCAAACCAGAAAGCTGTCATCTAGGTCCGACCAGAGCTCGCGGCGCTCAGGGCACAGACCACACCGCTCCTGCGGACGGAATCGGCCAAAGTCAGGGGCCGGAAAACAAGAATGAGCCTCAGCAAAAAACCACAGACTGCAAAGATCTGAAGTGAGAGACAAGGCCCAGATCGAAGAGGGAAGACGTTATGGTACGAGAAGAGTTCTTCTGTCGTGTTCTGCTTAAAACTGAACACTGACGTTTTCCAGGCTGAATGACAAGAGAGTTGATATGAGATAATTCACGACGGCTGTGTACTGGTAACTCTGTGAAAAAATAAGCTTTGTCAAGTTCATCGTGGTCATGTTTATTAAACCACCTTCCACAGAACAGCCAAAAGTGTAAAAAGGTCTTTCCATAACTAGGAAATCATTTTACAGAGCATTGTAGAATGAAATAAAAGTGAAAAAAATTAAAATACAAGACTGTTGTCTTTTAAATAAAACTTCAATATACTGTACTGATGTTGACAATATGAATGGCTGTGCCAGGTGGAAACATTGTATAGATAGACAAGGTTTACATTATGAATAGAGTAGATTAGCCAGTGTGCATTATTCAGACACATGATTTTCAAACAATATAGCAATGCATAGATATCCTAGAATAAATATGAACACGATCTTTTGATGCTAACCTAGTACTCAAGTATCCAGACTTGGAGGAAATAAGAGATCCAGGTCTATGTACTAGTAACCACACACAAAGACAGAGCCCTGTATGTTCTTAACATTGCACCAAGTTAAATCAACTCTTTCTCCATAAGGTCATGTGGTGGGGAATATTCATCTTTACAGAATCAATTTCCTTGAGTCCTATCTTTCATTGTGTTATTTTAGTCTTTCCTGGGTTGTTCTTATCTGATACATGAACAATTAGAAATGAAACTCCCCAAGAGTCTCAGGTTTGTTCTAAATCACGCTCAAAAGCTCATCTGTTCCCTTCAAAACACATTTATCTAATGAATACCTGAATACTTATAAGCACAATGTAATTCTGCTGATCTCCAGACAATTATATTCTAGAATCTAAGACCTTGTGTACGATCAGAAGAGAAAAACAGGTATTTGCTATCTTTATGAACTGAAAACTAGCTTTAACTTCTACGATGTCATATATTTCATGATGACCGCCAGTTTGAAAACAGCCTGGTTGAGTTTTGTTCTCTTCTGACCATCTGCTGATGCTGCTCGATGCTGATGGAGATGTGACTGGTTGGATTTCATTCACTCTGCAAATGAAGTGATATGACAGTAGCCCGAAACAGAACAATCTCCCCCAATGCTTATTCCAATGTAATACAAGCCTGAAATTACCATCACACCAGTTTTCCGTGTGCAGCTTCTGAGTAAACTGTGAAGTAACCATCACAAACAGTTCTTCAAGGAAGACCTGGTTTTACATGACCTTTAAACGTTTTCTTTTTGCTGTCAAACAACATCATACTGACTTGATGCCGATACCAACTGAAATATTTCGCTGTGTTTAACGTTAGACTCACGTCAATCAGCTGCAAAAGGGAGATGTAATATTTGGGTCGAACCGTTCAGCTAATCAATGTTAACTTCTTTCGTTTTTGCAGCTTTCAGTTGCTGCGACGATGGATGTAGAGCTCATGAAGTTGGATTCCCAGGCTCCTGGGATGAGTTAGTCTTCTCGTCGCAGAGTCTCGGGCGGAGAGGCGGTTTCTACGACGAGGCCGGTGTGCTGGCCTGGGGCTGCCCTCAGCTCCGCCTCCTCTCCTCCCCACCGGCAGGCGCTGTGCTTCCCAGTCCTCTTCACTGGCGTCCCGGGCAGCGGCAGGGGTGGGAGACGGGATCTGCTGGAGCTGCAGTCATGGGTGGGAATGAATGGCGATATGAAGGAGGAGAGCACTGGAAAAGACATCCATTTCACTGGCGTGAGGAGTCCGCGCGAGTGGAGGTCTCTGCCTCTGCCTACGTGTCGGGCGCGTGTCTTCTCCTGGCCTTCCTGGCGTACACGAAGTACATGGTGTGCCCAGTGGTGATGAAGAGCACGGAGACGAGGACCAGCACCCCGAAGTGCTGGGGCTGGGGGGCCGATATCACCATGACGAAGTGCAGCAGGTCCATCAGGTAGTTCATGGAGCTCTGCACCCCATTCACCACCCCCCTCTCCGACTCACAGATGCTCTCCTGCAGGAGCTGGGTGACGGTCAGGTCGAAGGACCACAGGCCTGTGGGAACAACATGACTGATGGTCAGTTCGCCCGCACTGCTCCGGCTGGTATCGTCCAGGACCACCTCCACTCCATCATACGGCGGCCCACTGTTCCTTCATGGGCTCACAGCTCACTAACGTGGCCATCTAAACACCAGACCCTCTCCTGGAACAGCAAGTATGGACTTTCGCTCAGACCAGCCTGACGACAGCCAGGGTGGCCATCCTGTCTGATCTCGTCATAGTGTGCGCTCAGACTCTAAAGATAAAGACTTGAAAGTCAGTCCTACAACAAGTAATGAAATTATACACTATATGGGACATTTTAGCTTTTAGCAAAGTCAAATCTAAGTTAATAACTTGAGCCTCATTGAAGTTATTACAGTACAGCTATTGTTTTCATTATTATGCCTTTCTTTTCTCTTATCTTATTTATCTGTAATAATACAGTAAATAACCTTTATAATTACAGACAGATCTGTTCTATGTTACCAACTCAATCTTGAAACAAAAATAACAAAAATCAGTTTCAGAAACAGTTACTAAACGTCAGATTTTTCCTTTTCTTTTTTACCGCCGGTATTTCAACACATTTGGGAAAGGTTACAGACGAGGGGGGGCCTTTCTGCCCATCTGGCCCGGTTGATGGTCAGTGGTTCGTTTATCCCAGGAGCTCTCCAGCTGTCTCTTGATAGAAGCCAAAACACCACTGGGAACCACCTGGCGGGGCAGCTTGATCCACACTCCCACCACCCTCTGAGTACACTCGCCCACCCGACTCACCGATCCGGGCCGTGATGACGCCCAGGAAGAGCAGGATGATGGAGGTGTAGGACTCGGGGGCCGTGCCCGAGGGCACGTTCTCCAGGAGCACCGTGTTGTTCGTCCAGTGGATGGAGGAGCGGTCGGGGAGCAGGGGCTGGTTGCTGCTGCCCTGCAGGGGGTACGTGTGCTTCGGCCGGGGCCCCGAAGGGCCCCCCGTGGCCGAGGAGTTTGCGCCCGTGCTGGGGCCCAGCAGGCTGAGGTCCAGGGGGCTGCCGGGGGCAAAGACCGACACCACACACAGCATCAGACAGCCCAGGTGCAGGCAGCTGGAGATGACCCCAGTGGTGACCAGGCCGTAGAGCCTCCTCAGCTTGGTGAAGATCACCGTCCCCATGAGCCCCGCGATGGCGGAGACGCCCATGAGCAGGCTGAGCAGGGACCCGCTGATGCCCTGAGTGTAGGCGTAGCCAGTGGTGATGCAGTCGAACCCCAGCACGGTGGTGTAGAGGAACGCCAGGCCCATGCCCGTCAGGAAGACCGGCTGCCTGTAGTACGCCCTCCAGCCGTCGCGGCAGGTGCCGATCAGGCCCCGGAGCCTCTGGAGGCACAGCGGCAGGGCGGCGGCCCCTCGCTCCCGGCTGCCTTCGCAGCTCCCTTCTGGGAGCTCTGAGCCCCCAGGGACCGGGGGAGCCCCTGCAATGGAACAGAGGAACTCTCATTTCCCTGCGGCTGAGCACCACGCAGCACTGACTGGACTACTCTCCTACACTCCAATGCTTAACAACCCATGAAAGATTTATCCGTAAATTAAAAGGTCTTTTCATTTTGGAACTCCTGATTTATGATCAATCCCACTCTGGAGCTATCCGTATAACCAGCAGAAGGAGGAGAAGGACCTTGTCCTGAAACTAAGCTTCATGTTGAAAGCCTCAAGGTGCCCAGGACTAGCAGCAGCTGTCGGACCCTGGCTTGAGGAACTGCAGACACAGCTGGCACAAGGCACTGCCCAAGCTCAGACCAGTGCTGTGTGGACTACAGACCTCAACCTGCACCCCGAGCAAGGGCCCGCTGAGCCCTTTCCTTTCCTTCAATGATTCCCACAACAAGGTTTCTTCTGCTCATTAGCAGAAAATTAAAGAAAAACATTTCAGTGTATCTACTGCGCTGTGAAAGTGTGCAGCAATGTCGGATCAGGACACAGGACACAATGGGAAAATCGCCACCGGCATTTTGTTCCACTGACCCTGCTTCTTTGCAGTCTTCTCCTCCAGGCTCGGATCCTGACTCTCTTCAGCTGTGGGCTTCAGGGATAAGGCAGGGACAATTCGGTACACTCTGGACAGGAAGATAAACTCCACGATCAAGGACACCAGGTTCCAGCCAAGGATGAAGCCACACCCAACCACATTGGACGCCAAGGTCATCACCTGCCCCACTGCCAGAGGAGCCAGGATGTTGGTGACTTGATCAATTCTTCTCATGGTGGCGTTCATTCCTGAGGAGACAGAGGGCAAAGGGGAAGGCGTGGTCAGACCTCAGAGCCACAAGCACAGCGGCACCAGAGTCTAGACAGGGCACATGTTTCTAAACCACGCAGCGACACCTTTCATGTGTGACAGTCAAGTGTTTCTAGCCACTGGCTGGCCCCCAGTCCCATTCCCAGCTCTTGAAAGAACAGTGTGATCATGTGTTGTTGTGTAGAATCAAGCTGTGTGCTACTGCTCTACTGCAACCCAGCAGTGTGCTGTGCATCTCTGCAGGTTTTGCTAGAATGATGTGCCTTATGTTAGAGGGTGGTAGGTACAGAAAAAGATGGAGGTCCTTGTGTGAACCACATTCCCCAGGATGCTGTGGGGGATGAGCTGCCATCCTCAGTCACATGACAATTTCAAAGACCACCAAAAGCTGAAGTCATTCCACATCCACCACCTAGTGACACAGAGCAGACACTGTGAAGTACCTGGCAGCAACAGGAGAAGGAGCTGACACAATGACCAGTGGGTGGAACGTGAGCACATGTGAGATTTTTGGGAAAGAGGTGTTTTGAAAAGAGTCTCAGAGAGAAACTGTGAAAGTGTTTGTGAGAGAAAGTTGCTTTTGATACAGAGATATTTTTGAGAAGCATGCGGCAGCCTAGCTGCCCAGTTATTGGTATAGAGGGACCGTCTGTTGACCGAATGAGTCCCCAGAACATTCTGGGAAATGTGGCTCAGACCAGGAGCAGTGTGGCGCTCTGCAGAGCAGGTCTCACCTGCAAGGTGACCCCGGTTGTAGCCAGTGATGACGACAATCCAGTCCCTCTGGATAGCGATGGTGAGGGCTGTGCTGGCGAGGTTAGCCACATCTGCCAGGATGATCACCACCGTATAACAAACCACCTTTTGTGAGTTGTGTGACGCAACATGTTAAATAAGACACTACGTATCAACATCAAGTCTTATTTAAAAAAAATAATCTTTTAAGTATTACTACAATTTGCAGTTTCCTCTGAGATCTTGTTATTTGGAAAGTCATCGGGAAATTCTCATTTTCCTGTTTCTTAAAAATGTTCGGTGATTGTTTTTACTACTCAGAGCATGGTTTCAGACAATACAATAACACCTTCCATTCAGTAAAAATCTTTACATAATAGCATTACACATATCTGACAACTGCTACAGCCTCCCTGTGTGTACACGTGTATACTGTGTATATTACACCATATATGTATAAACATTTAGATAATCTGTTATAATAAACAGGTTTTAATAAACGGAGAATCAGCAGAAAATGAAGTGTTTGTAGTCTAAGAAGTCAAAAGAGCAAACCACATCTGCTGTGACTCGCTGATGACTCTGGTTCACATGGCAGCTGAGCTCAAGTGAGGACTCCACTACAGACACATTCTGACCAATCGTTCAAAGAACACATTCTTTGGGAATGTCTGTATTTCTGATGGGGAAAATACATTTTGGATGTCAAGGAATTTTTGCAACTGTTTTAAGATTTCTATATGTTTTGTCAATCTTTTGATTAAAACGAATGAGAATCTTTTAATGAAGATGTCTGTTTTCTGTTTTTATAATGCATCTAGAGAGCATTACTCTCCTTAGTAACTCACCAAAAATGGAAACCTGTTGTGCACACATGCTGTTCAGCAGATGACTTCTCACTTGCTATTTAGACATGCTAGATTGGAAGATGTGGGGGGTTAAAGATGAGATTCTTCAGTTTTTTTGATCAGGCTTTAGGCCTCTTCATGCTTCTTTGAGGCTACATCCAAAATATGGGTTGGCAATTTGCACAGAGAGCATAATATCGTCATAAACTGAAACATGGGCAGCCACAGATTCTCGTTAATTATTCAGCCAATTAACTGAATAGGTAATGAAAGCGAAACGTGAGAAGCTGGGGTAAAGGAACACTCACCGTTAACCAGCCGTCCCAGACTCGTTCAATCCACTGCTTGTTTGAAAACACCAGCATCAACACAATGCTGCACATGGTGACTGAAATGTTCTGAATGAACAAGGATGCGTGAGCAACTACAGCCGAGAAAACACAAAACAGATATACTTCGCTTAGAAGTGGTGTATCCAGGAGGCCAGCAGTACCTTCTCAGAAGCTTCCAGAGCTCTTTAGAGCGCAAACATGCAACACTCTGCATCCACTCTGCTGTTCAAGGCGTAAGTGACATCTGAGATTACACAGAAGCACTGTACTCAGGTAGTGGTATTGAAATCACCAGTAGCTCCTTACAGGATGGAGACATTTAAGCAAATATGTAGTAAAATCTTACAAAAAAAGATGGCCAGAAAACATTATCAAGCAACAAAGAACAGAGTTAAGGTGGAATTTACAATGCCATATTATTTTTAGCTATTATTCTTAGTCTGTTTTTGCAAACACTAGTGTCTAGTGTCATGAAGTTAGAATGAAAACAAAGGGGCGCATCTTACCCTCAAATTCCACTGTTGCGTTATTAATTCGTTATTTTCGGTCTATCACATTTATTCCACCTCTGGAAACAGTAAAGCTGTTAGCAGTGGCAACAGGTCTTTAGAGAAGCCAAATCTGTTTCCTGCACTGAGGCCGTGCAGTTTCTTCCAGCGCAGCCCAGGAGAGAGCCACCCCAGCACTGACGGGCGTCACAGAGCCGAAGTCCTGCAGGCACGCCTGCTGGTGGAGACGTACGCTACCTTTGTTTCTGGGGTTCCTGTCCACCCAGTCGCCTATCAGAGCCCCGAGCAGCAGCACAGAGCCGGCGACCACCAGGCCGAAGACAGCCGTCAGCAGCAGGTTGTGGCCGTAGAGCTCGATGAGGAAGACGGAGATGGCGAAGTGCCACATGCGGTCGCCCTGCGGGAAAGCAGATGGAGCGTGGGTCTGAGCAGCCCCAGAGCCGGCCCTACGCCACCACTGGGAGGAGGATTTCTCCCATGCGGAGACGAAGACAGCTTGTGTGCAGGAGCCCAGCCAGGTGAACCATGAGCATGTCTTTCTCGGTATCCTCGCCTGGGACAGCACCTGTGAACCACACCAGCATCTACAGCACTCACTGCTCCTAGTTTAGTGTAAAGCAAAAGGACTGCACTGGTAATTGCACTGCACTGGTAACTGGTAACAGCTGAGTCACGATGTTGGACTGTTCTCCAGTTCTACTCAGGACTTCACAAATATCCCTGTAATATTAATCCTTCTACAGCCCGCTTCACATCTGCGCTGTCATGGTGGCTTTTCAGTACTGCAGCACACAGCCACTGACTGTCTTCGTTTTCTAATACTATAACGTCGGAGGCAATGGCTGTCCTCTTACCCACATTGACAATGCACCACTGACATAAATCAGGAACTTGGGCCCCCTGAGGTAGATCAGAGCTGATCCTGCAAGAAGAGAAGTGAAACAAGGAGATACCAAATGAGAAGTGCACAAGGTAAATATGAACTGCAATCTTAACTATTTAAGTAACAGTAACAGTATTTCATTTTGGAAATCCATTATTATAAGATCAAGTTGCCCTAAAGCAGCAGCATTGTCGGTAGTTTCATTCACAACAGGAAAGCCAGCATGGAGCTCTTGATAACAGTGGAATAGTGTCTGATAAAGACAATTCACATCTACTTTTATTAAATAAAAAATACCTCTCTTTTATAACTATTATATTCTTGACAGTCATGGTAAATATGGACCCTAACCTAGAACACACAGCATCATTCACACCAAGCTGGGACAACATCATGGACAGGACACCAGTTCCTCCTGGGGCACATACTGTACCCACTCACTCACTAACCCCGGAGCTGTGAGGCAGCTGATCCACCCTGCTGCTACAACACGAGTCCAGTGCACCGTGCCTTCCTGCAGAATAAGGTGAAAGAGCAAACAACCACACGAATTCAGAAAGGCCTCACCTGAAATACTTCTGGCCTTCCTGTCTCGGGCCTCTCGAGCCTCTTCGATCTCGAACTCCACAGTCACGCGGCCGCAGCGAGCCAACTCCGACCTCGACGACATCTCCTGCTCTGCAGGGCCGCGGTACGACACGCAGAGGACCCAGGGCCCGCACCCCGCCTGCTGAGGCAGCGACAGGGAAGCCCATGAGGGGACGGCAGCAATGGTGGACGGGTGGGAGAGGAGGAGCGGGTGAAAATGCAGTTTCAACTAAAAGTGCTACATCGTGAGGTATCGAAAGGCCAATTCCTTCATCTCTGGTTCAAAAGGAAAATAGCAAAGTGTTGCAAGAGAAAAGTTGCATTTGTTCAGGGTCACTGTTTTTACAGGGAGAAGAAATGGTAGTTTTTCTAAATCGGTTTAAAGAGCCGGGAGGGTGCTTCTTGTGCAGTGCCCAGAAAGAAGCTCCCAGAGGAGCAGAAGCACACATCGATTCTTCCTGGACCATGAAGGAACTGCGATCCGCTGCCAGTCCATGCCTCGTGCCTGGGCAAGCGCAGCCACCTCTGGAACTGGCTCACCCAGTGACGGCAGCACTAGAATGAAGTTTGCAATCTGAATTTTACAGAAGCAGCTTTTCTGCTTACAGTATGTAGAAGAAGTTGCTTCCATTCTTACTGGGAAGAGCTTCACTACACAGCATGATAATGAGCCCAAACTCAAAGCCACTGCCACCAAAGATTTCATCAGGAGAACAGGAGACAAATATTAGACCGACCAGGTCGATCTTCCACATTAAGCTAGGAGTGAGCATGCACTTGCTGTAGAAATAAGTAAGGCCAGAACAGCCCAATCACAAGCAAGAAGTAGCTGCTGCAAAGCAACACAAATGACCACACAGGGAGATTCGAGACTCAGTGGGTCACTCAATCACGCGGGTCTGACTCAAAGGGATATGCAACCAAATACTGAGTTTTACACTCTCAAGTGTAAAACTAAATCTTTAACAAATGTCAAAGTGAACACGTGCTGTGATGCTTAGAATCTCCGTGTTAAATCGAAAATGTGTCATGTATACTTCTATACATAAGTCCTACATTGACTGAAAGATCTCCTCTCATTTGGAACTGTTGTTTCTTCTACACATGAAATCAATATAGAGCACTTAACACACTGTGGTGTAAAGATTTTGCTGGGAATTTAACCTGAGATCCCAAATGGCCAATGGGAGACTTTTCCAGGCACAGTGTCCACAGAGACTGTTCACTTTCCCGCAGGGGAACCCAAGCAGCAGGAATTCTATAGCACTCGTCCGCACAGTGATCATGGCTAGCAGGATAGCTGCATCTCTCTTCTCTCTCTCTCCTCCACACGCTACAGGAGGTGAGGCAGGAGCCGAGATGAGCTGTGCTGTCAGCCTCTGGCTTGGACACGCCTGACGCCTGATTCTTACAAAGGAAAACTTGAACCCAGCTACACCAGGAGCTACGGGTTCTGTAGAGACCTGAAGGAAGAAGATAACCCAGGAGGTGCAGATGATGCTGGAAACTCACAGCTGTATCAACTCCATTAAACACTTAACTCCCGAACAATCTTGGCAACCCAAGGGCATTTCAAGCAAATTCACTCCTCAGGCGATGAAGATAATGCTACACTTTGGAGCTACAGACTCTGGGGAATCCAGTGATGAATCTAGGATTCTCTAGTATTTTTCTAATCGAGCTTCAGCCTTTAAACAGGAAGTGAGGTCCCACATCTCACACAGTGCGCAGCAGCTGTTAGCTACAGACTGCAGTTAAAAAAAAAATCTTCGAAAATAATCCCCTTTTCTGATTGTCAACCTTTTTTCCCTCTCTTGCCCAAAGCAAAATTCCCCTGATCTCACTCAGCAAGACAAACACATGTACACAGACTAGAAGGCATTTACTAAGAATACAAAAATAGTCGTTTTTTGTTTAGAAAAGCACATAAAACATAGAATATATCACAGAAAATCTGGCCTCACCTTGGCTGAACACCAGAAATGGTTTTTCGGGTTTGGTCGCACCCTGTGTATCAGAGGTAGTTTTCGACGTAACAGCAGACCTCTCTCCACTCCTGTAGGGTGGGTTCAAACTCTTGTGGCCTCAGAGACCTGATAACATCAGTGAGCAGAAGGGCTCCATTGTATGAAATTGCCAGAAAAGCAGAACAGTGGATTGTTCACAAAGGCAGCCAGCATATTCCAAAGCACGTGAGGGCCCTGGACAATATCACCCATCTTTCACATCACAAAAAGGGCAACTCTGTCACTCGTATGACACACAGGACTAAAGACAGACAATCCACACGAGAGAGCAGCGTGCTGGGCGGCTCGCACGCTTCTGAAGCCACGTGCGGAAATCGACCGCGCGAAGGAGCCCCGCACTCTTCGTAGAACGTGGCTCCAGTTACTGTCTCAGGAGCAGCGTGTGCGAAACAGTAAAAACTGCAAGGGAAGACAAACAATATACTTCTTAGTCCACAGTCCGATTCACACGTATCGCAGAGAAGATAGATAGATAAGACTTTATTGATCCTGAAGGGAAACTGATGAAATGTGGATAGCAGAGGATAGTTTCGATCCATCGACCTCTGGGTTATGGGCGCAGCACGCTGCCGCTGCGCCACTCTGCCGAGTGCCTCTTCTGAGCCACAGACCTCCCAAGACGAAGACACTTGTCTTGTTTTATTTGAAAATGGAAATGGCCAGCCAGCACGGAGCAGTGCCTCCTAATAATCCCCCTCTCTGAACTGGCTTCAGCAGTCCACTATGGCTGCCGTCGCATCATCCAGGTGGGGGTACACACTGGCGGTGGTGGAGGGGAGCCCCATTGCCTGTAAATCACTTTGAGTGGAGTGTCCAGGAACCTGTAAGGAAGCATTTCTTATCAATGAGATATGTACTAGGATCACTGCATGCCTGTGTTCGTACCCTGGTTCAAGACGCATCTGGATGGGTCCCTGGGCACTAGCTTCTAAATGGGCTGGACGGGCTGAATGGAGCCTTTTTTAGTGGTTAGGACTGCTCCCTTGCATCACTGGGGCCCTGGGTTTAATTATGGACCTGGGGTGCTGTCTGTGTGGAGTTCGCATGTTCTCCACGTGCATGCATGGGCTTTCTCCTGGTGTTCTGGTTTCCTTGACAACTCAAAGACATACAGTACAGTGGCCTCTGGGAGAACTGGCCCTGGCGTGAGTATGAGTGCGTGTCTGTCTGCCCTGCGATGGACTGGCGTCTAGGCAGGGGGGTACCAGGATTGGCCCCGGCTCCCCTGCGACCCCCGGTTGGAAGCAGTAGTTAGATAATGGATGCATGGATCTAACGGGTATCATGCAGAAACGTAGCACTAATCGGCGTTGGTGTGCGTTCAAAGCAAAGTCACATCCACCTGTCTGTGTGAAGCAACTGGTGTTTGTGACAACCTGACTTTTCCAACAAGAATCAATCATGCATTTGGATTAACTGCACATAATGAGAGCCATTAACTGACACAAATTAAAACCAGGGGGTCGGCACAGGTTAGACGTGTGAGTGAGCGGCTTATTTCAAATTCTGCAATAATCACAGAGCCACTTTCCAACTAAAGGATCTTGGAAAGTGTGTTCATGTTTTATCATTGTTCATGTAATTGATCTTTCCAGCAGACACCTGCATGCTGTGCTGCAGTAGATGATTTAGAAATGGCCTTCCACCTTGTGGACAATTCCGAGCCCTGCTAATTCCTGCAGGAATCTGGTCTGCACTAATAGCCTCAGACTTCGGAATCGTTAGATACCCCTACAAGACAAAAAGGTAAATGGTTTATGTAGAAGATATATACATGCCGAATGTTAGGTTTAGGCCAGTTCAATATTTGTTACGTTCTTCTTTCTAATGTTAGAGGTTGGAAAGAGCAGCACAAGAATATGGCTTTGCGTTGCTTTATCTGGAGTAAAGTGCTGTAAGAGAGTGTATGAATGTATTTCATTTACACCTGAAGTACAAGCCTTGAAATTTATCGTTGAACTGAACCCTAGGACACAGGATGCAGCTGCGCTAACTAGACACCACACCGCCCAAACATCATTTCAATTAACTTACATGGGATATCATGCCAGAAGCGGACTTCCTCCTTTTCCGAACTGCCGATGGATCCAGGGAGCCTCTTCCACTCGCTGGCTATTGTCCTGACAGAAATGATCGCTCCCAGAGTGGTGACTCACAGCACGATCCGCAGCGCCAACAGACTACATGGAAGGAATCAAGACTTCCCAATACAGTCGCAGAGCCTTCAGAAAACAGGACCACACCCTTTCAAGGGGACTTTAGCACGAAGGGACAGCTGCCCAGCTGTGTCGTCTAAGCCGATACCACCGCCTCCTACAAAACACAGCTGCACAAGACCCCCCGATCAGCTAGAGACCAAGACCCCGATCGGACAGACGGGCTGACTGGTCCTGTCTAGTCTCTTCTAGGCAGTCATCGAGAAAGCAGAGACGCAATAAAATACCAAACGGAATCCTCTGAGCAAAATATTAAATTCAGGTTAGTTTTATATATGATAATATTATATAATACATATATTGTACATTATATATATATATGCCATAGTGTTGGGAAGAGTTCAAGGACGTGCAACAGGAGTTGTTCATCTCAGGGGACTGTCCTATCCAGACAGGATAAACGAGTTAAGTCTCTCCAGTCTATGATAAAGGAGACTGAGAGAAGGACTGAGGCATAGGTGAAGGACTATATCACACTTCGGTGTGACACAGATGAGAACTAAGGGTGTTCATTGAGAACAGAGAACAGCAAATTCTTCACTCTACGAAGGGCTCCGGAACAGGTTGGCAGACAGGTGACCGAAGTCCTGATAGATCTGGATGACATTTTAGATCAACTTAACTGTTAGACTATCAAGAGAGCTGCAGGCTTCCGCCAGACTGCAACCATTCTTGTGCTCCAAGTCTGCAGCTGGTAGAATCCTGATCCTGCAAAGATTCTCATTGATTAACCGGGATTCGTTTGAGCCAAGTGCATGGCTGTTCTGTTTTTAAGATTTAAGCCCAAACTATAAGGTGGAGTCTGTATAGCATCGAAGCAATGTGTACCGTACAAACAAAACAAAAGAACACCACTAAAATATATAAATGTATTTTATTTTTTTGTGAAACTAAAGTATCCATAGTTATTTTCAGTCGAAAGGCAAATACTTTAGTACAATAAACTGTACAACTCACACAAGCAAAATCGCTTTCTGTATACAAAAACAGGAACATGATTGTTACTATTCCACCTTATGAAAAATAGAACATCCACAGTACGATTCGCTAGGTGTACCAAAACAGTCAACAGTAATGCTTTCACAAATCACTTCATAAATCTGTAATAAACAGGAGTGAAACAGTGGGGAAAGGTACCACAGTGTTCTGTTATTTCGAAAATTGTTACAAAAGGTAAACAGCAGGTAAAAATATCTGAAAGGTGACACTACGGTCAGCTCTGCTTTCAGCCTGGTCACACACACACATATCCCAGGTCAGTCACTCACGCACACACGCACAGCCCAGGTCACGCACACGCACACGCACACAGCCCAGGTCACGGGCACACAAGCACACACACAGCCTAGGTTGTGTGGGTGTGACCTACTGTGTCCTGTGCTTTGAAAGTCAGGAGATTGCAGCGTCTGACCCCATGGGCTCACCCCGATTACAAGGCAGCTCCGAACTGTACCCCACTCCTGGTCTGCGTGTTGCCACAGCGCCGCAGGACGTCACTGTCGGTACAGCGGCGGGTTTCACAGGGGGCCAAAAAATACTGCAAGATTTTCCTCCACTGGAAACTGTTCAGACTGTTGATATTGAACACAGAGCATACTTCATGACACTGGAAAAGAGCTCATTAAAGTACTAAGGTACACACTGACCTTCAAACTCCAGACTCTCCTTTGCAAATGCCTGTTATATCAATCCAGCAGCAGTGTCAAATACACAAGGACGGCAACACCAGCAGGGTTTTTGGTTTCTAACTTAGTGAAGTTTTAGGCAGGTTTCAGTGTGCAAAAACACTCAGGGTGTGTAAAGGGAAAGGGAGAGTCACAAGACAGACCAGATCCTACGCAAGAGCACCGCAGACCAGGGATAAAACACATATGAAATCTCAAAATCCGCCTTTCCTCCTCGGGCTCGGTTCGTATCGGTCAGTCCCCAGGGGCGTGACTGTAGCCTCCAGACGTTTGGCTGTTGTTTAAAAAACATCCCTCTTCAGTTATTTTCTTCTGCAGTACCTGTATTCTTAAAACAATCGATCACATTGAATGTCACATTTTAAAAAAAAAACAGGCCTACAACGATCCCTTCAGTTCCGGCAGTCTTCAGTATCCGGCGCCTCTGGAGCAGCTCGGCGAGTGGGTGAGGCAGGACTGGGCTGGGAGCTCTCTGCAGGCGGGGGTGCTGGGGCCGGTCAACACGAACCCAGCGCAGCCCTCGTTCCAAGCCCACACACTGCTATTGCTCAGCGCCAGCGGCACGAGCTCCGTCTCCTGAGCCGCCCTCCGCGCCGTGCTGGGGGTCACGGGGTCACGGGGTCACAGGTCTGTGGAGAGCTGGATGCTGATGCTGGGGGGGCGGGGCTTGTGCGGGGGGGCGGGGCTCAGGTGCTCCGAGACGTAGGCCAGCTTCTCCTCCTGGAGGCTGCAGGCGGAGCAGCGGCTGGCCTCGGAGGCGCCGGCGGAGCGGCCGGCGCCGAACACGCCGCTGACCTGCTCGAAGGACTTGCTGAAGACGGCGCTGGCGGTGTGGGACAGGCTGAGGCTGCCCGGCTTGGGGAGCGACTGGCTGGTGGTCAGGGTCAGCCTCTTCAAGGACAGCAGCTCCAGGTTCTCGCTCATGGCCCTCTGCGCCTGCTTTCGGGACAGCTGCTCCCGGCAGCTCTCCGAGCCCGCCTCCCTGTCTTTCCCCACCCTGCCGCCGCCGCCGCCGCCGCCGCCTGCCTTCCGCTGGCTCTTCCCCGACGGCTTCCCGCTGGGAGCGGAGCTGCTGACGACGATCACGGGCGGGCTGGAGCTCGGGGCTGCCCTGGAGCAGAAGCCCTCATCCGCTTCCGAGATCTCCATCAGGTCCTCCGGCGAGGTCAGGTCGAGCGCATCTGCAGGGAGCGCAACAACACGTCTGCAGAAAACCAGCCTGCACGCACTGGGCCCCTCCCTGCAGATCCACCACACAAGCAAGGCCAGGAACAAGCCCCACATGCTGTCTGGAGCAAAGCCAAGTCTACAGCAGCAGCATTTCCACACAGACTCAAGCACTCACACTTACCTACAATCGACAACTCATGTGTTGAGGAAAAAAATACCAGGTTAGAAAAAAAGCAAAAGCATGTTTGCAGAATATTTTCCATGCAGGTAGTTTAATAAATCTGGAAAATAGATGCTCAAGGGGAAATGTCTACTGACCGGCAAGACAGCCACACAAAGGGAGTCCACTCAGCCAAGATGCAGGAGTGCAAAATTTAAGTCAGAAGAGTGAAAGTCTGTAACTGCTCTACATTGTTGTACATCTCATTAAAAACTCATTTGTCTAAATATTCTAAACCACAAAAAAATATAGTGTGTATTTTGAAAGAGCACAATAACATTAAACGTGCGGTTACAGAAATTCTTCTGACAACAATTCACAGAAATTGCTCTTTGATTTGCCAAACCTTAATTTTACACAGACTTCGCCTGACACATTATCCAAATATGAACTGCCTAGCGCATATTCGAACATCACAAACGTCATCCTTTTTTCACGAACTCTTTCCAGATTTCAGATTCTTTCCGCCTGTCAGAAGATGTCTGTGTGCAAAGCTCGTGTTGTTCAAAAGCTATTAAAAAGCAGAATTCATCACTTGCAGTTGAAACTGTGATTCTACCGATTAGTTGAACATTGCCTTAGGAACAAGCAGGAACAGTTGCCATTAGCTAGTTTTAATCAAATCAGGAATAACACCAGTGTGATGAAAAGCAGGAGGTATCTTTCAGCATTGCAGACACGGGCTTCTGTTTGTGGTCACGGTGCTGCCACAGAGGGGCTGCTTTCAAATACCGACACAGTACATTAACTGGAGGTCAGAAGTTCGGAAACCACTGCCGCCGTGGGTTTGGACAGAGAAGAACAGTACGTGCACAAAGAAAATGGATTTCACGAATGCATGATTAAATGAATGACTTTACATGTAAATGAAGATCGGTGCAAATGTAAAGGTAACGGGCAGCGCTCCAGTTCAGGGGAGCAAGTCACGTAGTGACTGGCGGGACAGAGGTTCAGGTGACATGCGGTTATACAGAGTTCGGGACTGCAGTGCTGGAACTCCGTTAGCATGCTGCAATATGTAACCCCAAGTGGCTCTGAGAGGTACAGAGGATTAGTCAGCAGTGCCATGCACTAGTGTCTTCCCTTCCCCACACCAGCACCAGAGCCCAACCCAAAGTACCTCTGGGTGGCGTTTAACAGCGCTCGGCTAGTACTGGACTCTGCCTGCCGAGTTCACGCCGTCCTCCATTAGCCTCCTGAAAGACTTCTGCCTCCTGATCTCAGCCAGGCTTTTGCTGTCTGCTCTAGAGTCAGCGCCCAGCTCCTGTCCCCCCTGCGTCTCCCCCTCTGCTCTGTTTCTCTGCGAGTCCCCGTTCACCACGCGCTCGCCGCTCACCCCTGTCACACTAATCTCGGGGACGGACACGGCGGCCGTGTCTGCGGCCTCAGCACTGCTCTCGGGAGACTCTAGGGTCGGAAATGACAAGAACACACGATGGCTGAAACACACAGAAAGGAGAACAGAACAACAGCAACAACAACAGCAGCACAGACAACAGCGAGTCCCCTCTTGGTGATGAATCACCGCGCCGTCTGGCCAGTCCCGGAAGAGCTGGCCCACGGCACGAGCTCATTCGGGGGCTCGTTTATATGCACAAGTCAATTAAGATTCTTGGCATTGTTGCACAGTACTACAGCACAAAAAAAACACACAAGTGAATTACTGGCAGCCAGTTGAATACACACGTTCAATAAAAAAAACAGAGTTCAGAGGAATATTCTTAATTTGGCCGACTTGCTGGAAACCCAATTATTATTCATCATGTACTGCAGTTCACAGCAAAAAAAAACAGGAGCTTAATGATAATGATGCACTGCTTAACGAAGCAATTAAAACACAAACTGGAGGAGTACAAGAGACCTGCTGTTAATGATTCATTAAAAGACAGCTCAAAAAGAGGAAAAGAACTTTAAATTCTATACCTTTCCCACAAACATCTATGGTACAGGTATATACATTTTACCACAGTAATAATTAAACATCTTGTCATCCTACAATCGAAAACATTTTATTTAAAATGTGCTATGGTTCATTCAAGCTTTATTATAATGCCTCAGTTTAAAAGCCTCACTTTTCCCAAGTTATTGTACAGTTACATATAAACCTAAGGCATACAGTCCTGTGGAAAACAACAAACCTCACTTTGAAAACCAGAGTCTATGAGGTTTATTTTCAACCTCCCTTTTTTAATTCTAGCAAATCAGTTCATGCAAACAGGGCATACTGACTTCACAAGGCCATTGGCGTGAGACGCACAGCAGCTCGCTGGCCGTGTCTCTTTGAAAGCTCTCTTGCTGATCCGCACCGATGCAGTGGGCTGGTGTGGACAGAGCAGACAGCACACGGGAGCCTTGAGCTCTGCCTTCCAGTCCCTGCTGGAGCAGAGAGACCGGGCCTGTGCAGCTGACAGGCGCACTGAGCTGTGCTTTTTTAGCACTGTGCGCAGGAAGGGCATGAGATCTCCTGCAGTCTCCATCATGGGTTCACGGGCTCAAAGGGCGCTGACACCTTTGCAGTGCCCTATCGTACTGGCAGGCTGGTGCTGTTTCAGTGTCAATCCATTTCCTCATGTGGATTCCACTATGTGGATTCTAAGATCTCTTTCTAAAAAGTGAATGCTGAGACATGGTAAGCGTTCTTAGCAAACTGCTGTGAAAGAACTTCATCAAACGTCTGTAAAAGGAACATGTAGGCAATGCAGAGCCAGAAAGACGAGCATTAAGACACTTGTTGATCTCATTCTCCATAGCTGCTACCCAACATTTCTTCGTGTACTTCACTTGAAACCAGGAACCAGAAAACTCATCAGGCTGCGAACGCAATGCTTTTGCAGAAATGCATTTTGAGGAAAAGAGGCCAGACAATGAAAACCCTTGTTAGTGGAGACTTCAAGCCAGCCTGGACACCTCTCCCACTGCTTACCGTGCCTCTTCCAGCGATGTCCACGGATCGACAGGCTGGTAACCGCGTTCCTGGATATTCTGGACGAGGTTGGAGTGATTTCTACCTGAATACAGCGAGTGCCCTCCTTGTTCGATTTCAATGCCTCTCCATGCCAGGAAGACTTGATGGCATTGCCCACCTACACAGGGGAAAAACCCATCAAAACAAGAACGCTTCAGCTGCCAGCGCGAGGCAAGGTTCCCAAGAGTCAAGTCTATGATCTGGATCTCTGTTTGACCTTCCAGTGCTGCAGCTCAGAGAGACAGTAGATCCCCGTGATATGAGAATCTCTCAGAAATCAAAACTGCAGGTTTTACAATTCCCATGTTTTTTATATGTTCTCCGATTGTGTTTGATGTGTATACTATGTTTATCACACTCGAATGAATTCATAAGACCTGAGCAGGTCATTTCTATCATGCATTAGTAAGCACAACTGGCTCATAAAACTGTTTCTAAAATTGTTCCAAGTGGGTATAAGAATGCGCAGAGGATGTTGCATGGTCACGTTAATCCTAACATGCAATCTCTCAACCCTGGGACTCGGAAAGCTTTGCAGGGACCTGATTCAGCAATTCCAGATCTTGAAAGGAATGCACCAAGTTTCCGCAGACAAGCTTCAAAGCTTTGGAAGAAAATGAAGATGGAATTGCCAAAATGGCAGTCCAAGTGTATTTGGGCAGGAAGATGGGATATTTCCGTCTTCAAGGATTCCAAACCTCTGATGCTGCTAATGATGATTCCCTGGGATCGTTTCAACAGCAGCTCGTCATGCATCCATGACCCACACAAGCCAGATGGGCTGTTGTGTGGAGCTTTCCTGAATTTCTCGTACATTAACGAGATCCGGATCCAGAAAGTGTTATAGAGACGTCTTTACCAAGAGTACAGTACAGTTAGTGACCATGAAACTTTTAGTTCAAACGGACACTCACTAATAATGCTTCGGGGTACAGCTCCAGCTGAGCTCTGTAGAGGACGTCATCCAAAGCTTTTGATGCCATTTCAGACTCTCCATTGTACCTATAAATGATCAAACAAGGTGATTTGATACTAAGAGAAGCCATAACACATCTGTGAAGATAAACTAATGAGAAACGTCTCACATGGTCTTTTAAGAAGCATGCTGGGAGTGAGCCAGTTCAGAGACGGGGATTATTAGGAGGCCATGACTGATTAAGACCAATGGGAAATTTGGCCAGGACACTGGAGTTACACCCCTACTCTTTTCGAGAAACACCCTGGGAGTTTTAATGACTAAAGAGAGTCAGTGTTATGTCTCATCCGAAGGATGGTGCCTTTTTTACAGAATGGTGTCCCCGTCACTAGACTGGGACATTAGGACCCACACAGACCGCAGGGTGAGCGCCCCCTACTGGCCCCACTAGCACTTCTTCCAGCAGCAACCTTAGTTTTTCCTAGGAGGTCTCCCATCCAGGTATTGACCAGGCTCACACCTGCTGAGCTTCAGTGGGCTGCCAGCTTTGAATTGCAGGTGATATGGCAGCTGGCAATAAATCAGTTATTTTAAGTCAGCTTTATTGTAGATGGAGACTTTGGGACAGAAGTACACCTATAAAAGCTTTTTCCATTACATTTTCTCCACGCAGAAGCCAACTGCCTCACAGAACACCAGAAGCAGACAGTTCCATGCAGTAATGCAGAATAACTTGTTATACTCACATGGCATAATAAATGCCCGTTATCAACTGAACGAGAAACTCAGAAGAAACAGACAGTCTAGTGTTCACGCCTTTGTATTTTCTCAAGTGCTGCCTGGGATACCCACAGGTGCTCACTCTGGAAAAGAAACACAAAGATATTCCAATCAAGGGAAGCCCAGACAATAACGCACGCAGCACACAACACAAGGTGGGTTTCTGAGGAAGTGCATTTGAGCCTACAGTATATGAAAAACAAAAACTTTAAAAGGGCAGTTTTGGAGATCCCCAAGATAAGAAAGCTCTAGTTTGGGATTAATAAAAACTAAAAACGCTGGGGTGGATTAAACAAATCTGGGTTAACACTTTACAGGCACTAAAACAATTCAGCTCAGGTCGCTACCTAATGGTCTTGTTGTCCACGTTCTAAACATACGGGACAGAACTGGGGCGTCCCGAGACACCCACACGAGCGTGGAGAAGAGAAACAAGCCCATGACGCACAGAAGGTACCCAGTGCTGGGACCCAAGAACCCTGCTCAACTCCATGCCCCTGTACCTGTCACGATCGCAGTCCCTCTCCTCAAGGGCGCTCCGACCCTTTCGTATTTCAGTCGATTACGTGCGCCTGCCCTCCGTTTGTCCCTCATTATTTCAGCCTGGCACTCTCCCTATTCCTGGCTCAGCATTAGGAGATGGACGCCCGGAAGCCCGCCTACCAGCGGGTCCAGGAGAGACCCGACGGCACAGGTTTCATCACAGCATCCTGACCATCTGAGTCCGGGGCTCGGAGCGCCTGGCCTCGTCATCCTGGTTTTATTCCCCGTCCCTGTTCTGGATCCCATTCCGGATTTTAACCACGTTTTGTCTCGTCTCGGACGGATCCCCCGATTTTGGACTTTGGACTGTGCCCCGGATTTCCCCCTTGGATTGTCTGGATCCATTTGCCTTGGCCACGCCCCCCGACCACGGATCACCGTCGTCACGCCCCCGTCTGTCACCCCGTCCCGATCCTCTTCGTCTCCTCCCTGTTGTCCTTCTCCACTTACTTCCGGATTATACCGTCGGCATAGGGTCCTGAACTACCCATCGCGGGAGCCTGGACCGGCTCCCGTTACAGTACTGTCCCCGATCAGATCAGGGTTATCTCGATACCCGTCCACACCAATCCGGGCCACAGCGCAGTAAAGCAGATGCAAACGTGCTTAGTCCGGGGAATATTAAGGCAGTTCTGAGCTATTACAAGAACAGACCCCTGAGGCCAATCAGCAGAACTGGTAGACCACAATAGTGTAGAAAAGCGCAGCAAAACTACATTATTGCCCACTGGGAAAGGAAAAAACAATGTATTGTCTGCTACCAAGCCATAATGGTGAGGTCTGTCATTATTTCTACTTGACTCGGAGAACAAATGCCAGCTATTGAGAAATAAATCAGCTACCCGCACAGCACCAGAGTCTGAGCAACAGTCCCAGCAGGATGAAAGTATTACAGCCCAGCAACTCCAACAGGAGGACAGTCTGCAGAAATGCATTATGCATTAATAAGGCCTCATTTTGAATTTGTGTACAATTTTGGTCACCAGTATTGAAAAGACAGTGTTCAGAGAAGAGCAACTAGATGCATCCCAGGGCTTAAGGGCTTACACAGACAGGCTGATGGAGCTGAACCTTTTCAGTCCTGAACACAGAAGGCTACGAAGGAACTTGGTAGAGAAGCACTTTAAAATCCTCCGAGGTACTGACACAGTGAAGGCAGCGGACTGCTTCAGCATGAACAGCAAAACACAAACCCAAGGGCACAGGAGGAAACTGCGTGGGGCTGCGCTCACCCCTGACGTTCCAGCACAAGAGCTGCAGGACTGCCACCTCCCAACCAAACTCCTAGTACAGAAATACAAGAAGAAAACGCCACACTTCTAACAGACTCGTCATCATCAGCTTCACTTCCATACAAACATGGGCACTTCACATGGGAACAACAATACTCTTGTCTGCTATTCTACAGGATCCTGCACCCTGATCAATTTCACCACTCCTGACAGGGACGAGAGCGCCGCTCCGACACCCAGGCCAGGCCCTGCAGAGGAGGGCTGCTGTCAGGGCTGCCCCTGCACCCCTGCCATCGCAGCCCAGCGCTCAGGCCACCACAACACGGAACCGTTTCCTCTCAACTCACCTGCACACCAAGAGCTCTGCACCAAGCAGAGTAATTACTGCTCCGAGAGTTCATTAGCGACCTGATTAGACGGTTCTGCAGTCACTGCCCGGAAGATCAATTCCGCCTGACAGTTTCTTTTCCTTCACTATTAATGCTTGAAATCAATTAATCTTCCCCCAGAGCAGCCTCGTCAGTATCCAAGTAACAAAGCACTCTAAAAGGGTTCTTCAAAAGACCACGTTCCCTGCTTTAACTCCAGATGTTGTGAGCGAAGGAGAAATCAAAACGCACTAACCAGGCAGGAATCGTTCACGAACGAGCTCTCTTGGGGACATTTACAGCGCTCAGCGTGTAAAGATCACTGCCAGTACTGATGGAGAGGCAGTACAATCTTACCATACAGACCACACTCGCTTGTCCTGCTGGAGGCTCTGCAATCACCCCGAATCCATCTGTCTGTTACACAGCTCGCATCAACCAGCTTTTCACTTCAGTGATGTGCCAGAAAGAGAGACTAACAGCAGTGGAGGAAAATCAGCCTTTTCAAGCACAGATAAACACAGGCAGATCTCTAAAGATCTTTTGCACACAGACCTGGATTACTTTTACAGCACAGTCATAAGGCATGAGAAAAATAAAAAAAATACTTACCTGCACTACTGTACACACACTTATATATGTATATGTGTGTACATATATTATTCACTAACACACACAGTATATACACAAACACTCATATGGTATGTCTATATTTGTGTGCATCTCCCAACTGACTCTCACTATTTCGGTTTACAGTTCTTTACTGCACAAAGGCTGAAAGTAGACCACAAACAGATAGTTATTACAACCAATGCAATCCAGTTCAGAAGAAAGAAACATATTTTGACTCGTGAAGACTGCCTCACAGGTCTCCACAATGCCTGCCTCTCAGGAGGCACCATTGCTGTGAGGACATTTCCTCCAGTGTGGTCCTCACAAATATAGCAACACCTGCACACCCTGCCCCCCGCCTCAAACAGCCCCCCCGTCTCAAAAGGGCCCACAGTCCCACCCCCCGACAGGGCCCCGATGTGAGGCTCACCTGGAACTGAGCTGGCAGAGGGACTGCAGCGAAGCGCTCGTCATGTAGCTCAGGGCAGCGTTGTAGCACAGGAGCAGGAAGGTGAGCACCTCGAACCTGCCGAGGAGCAAGCACAGATCAGCCACTGGGGGGCGCGGGAGCGCACGCGGGCAAGGGGGGGCATCTGTGCCCTCACCACCAACCTGTCAGCTCAACTCACACGCAGGAGAAGGGGGTCTACGGTCTGCCGGGAGACTTTCTGGATTTTATTGAAACCAACAGTGAAGCACGAATCAGAGGGCACAGATGGAATCGAAGGAGTAAAGTGTGATGCAAGCAATCTCACAACCAGCCAGCGGCTTTCAGGAAGTGGGTGGAAGAGATGCTCAGATCAATGAGCTACTATGAATTTGGCCCTTCTTACAGCAAGAACAGGATCATACACGAGACTGTATGTTTCATGCATGAAATGCACATCTATAGAAATTCAGCTTAAACCTGACCTCTGCTGGACATTGTAGGGTTCCAATACTCATGTAAATAAAACCTTTCTGCCTAAGGACAGGATGTTTTCAGATCTTGAGCCAAGGCCTGAGCCTACACAGGGCCCCGGTCCAGCCTGATGTCATGGCTCAGCTATGTCAGCTCCAGGAAAGGCCAAAAGCCGTCATGTTCAAAAAACGCCCTTGCCGGCCCCTTCTGAGCACTTGAATGGATATCTGCAAAACTGCACAGTGGGGATAAAGGGAAACAACACGTGCTGTCCACCTTGCGCACAAATTCCTAAGGAAACTAGCCTTGTTCCATAATCCCAGAAGTCGTGTGCATTCAGAATGTGTGGCATTAGAAGAGTCTGATCCAGCAGGGTTTCAGGGAGCTGGGGGGACACACAGGCTGCAGGGTGACGCACGGGAGGAGGGGGCTCGAGAAGGCCCCCTGGCACCTCCTGAGCACCGGGCCTCGACCTGCCTGCGGAGACCCACCTGTTCTGGGCCGTGAAGGTCTCTCTCTGCGGGTGGGGTCCGCTGTACACCACGCGGCTCAGGCCGTGCATGGCCAGTGCGCCCTCCGTCAGCGCCAGCGACCCGAACATGGACGGCTGGAAACGAGAGCAGCAGGTCAGCGCACCGCGCACCCTACAGAGCGGCGGGAACACACCGCGCTCCCACGCTGCCCTGGCGGGAAAAACACCACAACACGTCCTGCCGACCGGTGAAAGCTGGCGGAGCAGAAGGCACAGGGCTGAACTCGGTACTGTTGGAACACAAGCAGCAGCTGCTGGGGAAGTACCCATCAGTGCACCGATTAGGGAAAGTTCATCTTTTTACGGACAACTTCCTCATGCTGGAAATGCAGGAGGCCGATCACAATTAGCACCATTTGGGCTAAGATTACTATCGATAACTCATCAGACAGGTCCTGTGGATCATGCGCCCTCAGAAAGATATGTATCCCTAAGTTCCAGCGCACAGGTGCAGAATAACAGAGAAATATCAACAACTTCAATGCATCGTGACAGATTTCCTGGAGTCACAAAGACCCCGGCTTCAAAACCATCCTTTATCTCAGATCTCACTAAGCTAAGCACCCCGTTCATATAAAGAAACTGCTAAATTACTGAGCAGCTTCCAGAGAAACCAAGGCACTGTGAGGCCACTCACCTCATGGTACACAGAGGGCTTCGACAAGGAAGGGACCGTGAACGACAGCACTTTGCTCTGGCCATCCTTGTCAACGATCTCCTGAGAAGAGAAATGCAAATGAGATTTCTTTACGGACAAAGAGGAATCAGGTTGCATTTCTTCATCTAGGTCAGAAGACACTCACCTCCACTCCAAAGCGCAAAGCCAGGAGGTGTAAGACTGTTGTCTATTTAACATCCAGTTAGTTACCTGTAGTAAATGGAAGAATCCCAACTACACTCAACAGGCATCAAGTAATCAGATCTCTCCGTGCCCACAATATAGCATTTCCACGTCCCCTGCACTGAGGCTGCTGCAGCTTGATTGCTCCTGGAGAGCACTATTTCTATTCACCAGGAAAACCCACAACACATTCTCCTCCCGTCTCATCTTCAGAAACGGTGCCAAAGAAAAGCGCAGGTTACCTTAGAGCTGGGGCTCCAAGCCTGGTCCTGAGGAGCCCCACTCTAGAGAATCTCACAGGTCTTACAGGTGTCGCAACGCTTAAGAAGGAAGTTACTGATGAATTTAGCAAGTATTCTCATTAATTAAGGGACTCTGGACATGGGGAGCAAAGGGTACTCTGTGTTTGATCCCCTGTGATCTCTTAATTAAGGAATTTAAAGAGTCACCTACTTAATTGATCATAGTGAAATGGTGTCAAGACTTCTAAATGGATGATTCAATGGCGAACTATAAAACTGTCTGGGCTGTCTCTCTGCATGAGCAGGGCTGGAGAATCTGACTTAGAGGTTTGGAAATGTAAGTGTTTGCTGCCCTCTGAGTAAAGATGATGCACTGCACTAGTGTACTTCATGTACAGTACTACAGAATTTCAGAGCCGCACAAAGAAACATTAATAAGCCATTCATTTGGCATTAGATAATTGTATCAGGATGTAACAGGTAAAAGACCCCATCACGATCATACTGTATGTAAAAGACCCTACCCCTGAATCAGAGTGGCTATATACACAGCATGGATTTTCACACTGACTCAGAGAGTCCAGGTGCCTTGCAAATTTAGCAGGACTGCTAAATGCAAATCCACCATTCCTCACATCCCAATAAAGACAGCAATACGCCACCCTGACCTCCCTCCAGGGTCCAGAGCTCTGGAGGTCGGAACGTGGAACTGGACAGGCCGGACACTGGCCATACGCCGGGAACAGTGCTGTGGGAACACTCACACAGAAGCTTAATTCATTTTGCTTTCTAATATTCCTGCTTTCCTTGTAGCTCATGACTTTAAATTCAGCTCGGCTCTTCATTCCTTTCGCATGAGTTTGAAGTCTGTCTCATGGCAGCAGGAAGGAAATCCAAGAGTGTGATCAGCGCCCATCACTTCCTCCCACAGAAAGGTCCTGGCACAGGTCTCGACAGCAGCGGCTGTACAACAGAAACCTGCTGAGCTCCGAGCGCGATTCAACACGGGTCAAGCACTGCTTTTCAAAGCTGAGACCCTGCAGCAGCCCAGAAACCACCGAGGAGAGAAGAGCTCTGACTGGTCTCGGAGGGCTGAGGATAACCCTGCCTGACAGCGCGGTCTGGGGCAGCAAAGTCCCCACCAGGGAAAACGGGCTTCTAAAATAATAAACTGAATAAACTTCAGGATCTGACTCCGATCACTTCATCATGAACGACGGATGGCCTATTTTCTTATCCTTTTGCGACGCCCTCAGAAACAATAAAACCAAAATATCTGGTGCTGTAAAGAGATCCAAGAAGGCGATGCTATTCGCAGACTGCAGTGGTAAGTGAAGGAAACAGTCCATAGTTTTGCACTGCCCTGTCCTGCCCGTCTCAGAGTCCTGTGGATTATATTCTACGGAGGTGTGAAATAGAAAGTACTTGTTTAAGATGGCACTCCTGTGGATTTTACAAGATGGGAGTACTCTGGCCGATTCCTATGTTTGTAGCTGAAGGATTTTTCCTGCATTTCTTGTGTTGTTATTATTAGCAGTGGTAACTGCACAGAGGTTCTAATCCATCACACAGCCCTTGACAAGAACATCCTCAGGCGGCTGAAGTGTGTATTCATACTGTCCTCCAGGCTCCAGGTCTACTGCTAATTCTCTGCCTGGGCTGCCAAGGGCAGACACTGCTGGCAGCGCCGCCACTCAGGCAGCACAGGCATCTCGAGTCATTACCATGGAAACACGGGGATAATACCGCTCAATCGCGTCTCTTTATGAGGAGAAGAAAAGGGAAAAGCAGAATGTCTGCATCCCCACAACCCGACGTTCGTACCTGCATCACACAGCCCCGTTCACGGACAGGCCGAAACTATTTCCAAACAGCTCCACAGCTTACAGTCCCCACAGCATTATATTAAAATCGGCCTTTTAAAGCAATTGACACGGCCCTGATGAGACACTGCCCTCACAGCACAGCTGTGACACAGGAGTGCTTTCTTGTCACAACCTTCCTTCTTAAGACCCGTAAACACGACAAGTAAGATTCCCTGAGGGACAAAGAAATCAAATGAAAGCTCTTAAATACTTTGAATACTGAAGTCAAAAGTGTAGAAGGACAGATGTTTAAAATCTCATACCACACGTACCTTCTTTTACTGGTTTTTGGAAAATTTGGAAAGCGAGAGTTTGAATTATGGACTAAAGCATCTCGGGGACCCTGCTGCCCTTTGACCCAAGCAGAGCCTGTATGAAGCTAGACCCCCGTCTTCACACAACTGTATTAGTCTTACTTCAGAGACTAAGGAAAAGGTTACGGACTAAATCCTGAAGATCGGCAGAGGGATTAAACACTGTTAAATAACGGGTCTACACGAGACACTCTGGTCTATAAGGGCAGAGGGAGTCCTGAGCCAGCTGCCCAGCCCCGCTGTGGAAGCAGATGCTCTGGACGTTTTCCAAGAAACAGCTGGATGCAATCCTGGGATTGAGGAGAGGACAGCGGCTCAGGTGAAAACCGCCTGGACGTGCTTTGCAAACCAAGAACAGGAAGCATGCGTTTACACAGGGGGCTCGGGCGTCTGGAACCAGGACCAGCGACCCAGAAGAGCCCAGGCCCGGTTCCTGGGGGGCAGCAGGCCCTACTCACCAGGTTGTAGATGCCCAGGAGCAGTGCCTCCACGCAGCCGCTGCAGCGCGGGCCCCGGCCGCCGGCCAGGGAGAGGTAGCACCACAGGAGCTCGGGCAGCAGCTGCAGGGCGAAGCGCTGGAGCCGGGGCTCGCCGCTGCGGTAGAACTCGAACAGCTGGTGGCACACGGGCTCCAGGAGCTGCGCGGGGGGCAGGCGGGACAGGGCAGCGGGTCAGACTCCCGGACTGGAGCAGAGCGCGCCGCAGAAACCCCCCCTCTAGCGGCACCACGGGCAGGAGGACGAGCAGCGTTTCGGACATCACCAGACACTGGCGGACAGCGGACTGGCTGAAGGTTCGACTCAACCCCGGCTTGACAAGGGCACCCACTTCTACAGCTCGGGCGCCCCTGGGCGTTTTGCAACAGAAAGGCCAAGCACCCACAGCGCCACTGCTCCTTCTGCAACCCTGACCGCAGTATTCACGTTTCAGCACAGAACCGCTGACACTTAAAAAAACGTTACTCTTGGGGAACAGTAGCGTTTCCCGTGAAAACATCTCATCACAACAGACAAATGGGAAATGGAAAAAAAAAGAGAAGTAATTATGGTTTTTTTATGCCCCTAGAGCAATGTTACATAAAAAAAGAGCAAATAACAGGGAACACAATAACTAAAGCCATGTTTGATGTGCTTGGCCATCGAGCACAGGATTACTGTGGCCACACATCCTCTTTTGAGGACTGAGTCTGTAGCAGATTAGACAAAGGATTAATTTCTCCTCTTGCAAGTGTTAACTATTCTCCCGTAAGCGTGTCCTGAGGCCCTTGTCCTTGGCCACTGCAGGACTGATACCAGAGCTGCCCTTGTGTGTCTTCATGGGACTTGTGCGCGCTGGGGAGAGAAGTGTTTCAGTGGTCAGTGAGCTCGATTACTGAGCGCTGCAGTGCAGTCCCAGTGCAGGGCTTGATCATGAGGCATCTGTACTGCAGGGCTGCTTCCTTTCGCTGGGGGTGACAGCTGTGGCCAGGGGGCTAGGAGCTGGGCTTGTGCCGTCAGCAGGAGCTCTGAGCTCCATTCACCTGACACCTGCAGGCTGTGTACAGCCACCGCAGTGAAACGGAGATACGCAGATCTACCCCAGACATCTCCTGTTAAACTTAAGGGTGCCAATTACCACACAATTGTGAGCAATTTGCATAGCGTTTCCCAGACCACAGCGCCTCTGGAAGCTCTCAGCACCGCTTCGGAGCAGCTGCTAATCCTGCAGAAGTGATTAGGCTGTCAGATGATCCAGTGATTTGCCTAGAAGCACCAGATCAACGTTGCAGTTAGTCTAAGCAAAGCAGAAGTCAAGTCTGTACCGGTGAGCGCAAAGACCGTTGTGCCTGGTAGATCCCAGGGCAAGTTCACCTGGGGAATTACCTCACTCTGGGGCTCCTGGATGACTTTGTAGAGGGCTGGAACTAAGGAGGTCTTGTCTTTCAAAGATGCAGCATAGCTGGAGATTGCGGTCTCAGGAAGGGTCTAGAGGAAAACAGGGACAAAGAAAGGTCACACCTCACAAAAACCCGTGACTTTTATTGAGGCACAACTTCCCAAACAGCATATGACTAGGCTTACTCTCTGCCATAGAAGGAGGTGGAGTCCTGGTGGTGGCTTGGCTCCCTCAATTCAAATTTCACAAGAAACACTGCAACAGACCCTCTGCATCTTGACAAGCCGGCACGGACGCCTGAGCCTTCTCTCAGACGCAAGCACTCTTTAAAACGTCAGCATGAATCATTTTTTAAGAAGCTGGTCAACATTCCGAAATGTAATTAGATTGAAAATGATCTTCTGCTGCAATGGAGAGTGCTGTGGCTTGTCCATAATCATTAATGTCAATTTTGTCAATCTGGATTGAGTTTAATGAAACAATCAAAGGATGTATTATTTTAAAATTCTTGCCAGCTGTGTTAGAATATTTCCAGTCTCTTAATTCCCCAGAATTCTGACCTACTACACAAAGGCACTCAGGCTGCACAGAAGGACTGTCTGTGCCAAGACAAACAGGCAGCTGTTAATAAACGAGGCTCTTCGGCACCTTCACTGAGTCGTGAAGGCATTTATCACCAGCACACACACTGGCGTGAGACCCAGCAGTGTCTCGGGAGCAGAGACAAATTTCACAAGCAGTCCTTCTACACTATAAAGTTCGCCCTGTCTGGATATCCCTCAGGAAGAGTCAGGAGTCCGGAGAAAACAAAACCCTTTGCAGTCACCTGCAGAGTGACGATGGGGTTAGCTTGGTTAATGCACAGAATCTCAGGCTAGTCTGGGTACAAGGTGATCCGGACATTTTCCTCAGCTGACCCCAAGCTCACAGAACAGCTCAGAGGGGTGGAGCGCTGAAGAACCAGCCCTGACATCAGCGCGATCCCCGCAGAGATTCACAACAAAACAACGGAGCATGCTGGGATATTCAAGGCCAGCTTACCTTAAATTCGGACAACCACTCTTCCACTACCCCTTGGTCCATAGCCAGCATCTTCCTGCATCTGCTGCTCGGAGGTTTCAACCTGGGACGGACAGAGAGGAGCAGAGCGGTCAGGCTCAGGTCTACCGGGCTCGCTGCTGGCCGTGCCGAAAGACACCCGAGTCCGACGGAGCCACGGCTGCAACAACCATTCTGGTTGCATGAGGATATTCATATTGTCTGTCTCATGCTCTGTGCGTCTTGATCGAACCCATTAACAAAGATTTCCCCCACAGCCAGACCGGATGCCAATTTCTGGAAAACACACCTGCTTACTCATTGCCTGTGTAAGTGGACAGAAAAGGCCGCATGTACAGTATCTGCTCTGCACAGCTCCTCAGTTAAACCACACACTGAAACGACAGAGCAGCGGTCACATTTTTCCACAGGCCACGATGCACATTGTGCCAAAGTGAATTTCCAAGAACTCACAAACATTATACTGCAGCAATATGGCTTAGGAGGTTTTGTTGCGGTATACCACAGTAAAAGCAGAGGAAAGTGTTGTAAAGCACACAGAAATCGAAGAAGGACTCAAGCCATGAAAAACCATTACGTACTATGAGAAATATTGCAGTAAACATTCATAACAAGAACTTCACCACTCCACATGAAGATAAGAGAGGGGACTTATCTCCATGAGGGTCACAGCAAGGTGTAGCACTGGGTACATGAAGGCCACCTGCTCTTCCCCTGAGCAGAACAGTGTATAGAATCACCTGGATAAACTGCTCATCATCTCAAGTCTCTACAACTCCGTGGTTTTAACAGTTTCAACATCACAGCTCACCAAACCCTGGAATGTTTCAGCCCTTCAAAACAAGAGATTGCACTGTAGATTCCCGACACTCCATCCATCCTCTGAACCAGTAAACCACTCAGCCAGCTCTCTCTAAGGAGATAATCTCATTCCTTTCAGCATACTAGGTAAAAACATGCAATTCTGCCATGGCAAAAGAATTTTCATTCATAAAAAAGGCTCAAAGTTTAACGACGCATCTTCATAAAATATGGAAAATAATTACTGAATCTTGTGGTACAGGAAAAAAAATAGGCAACACACCCACAAAACATTTAATGAGGCGTACAATACAGAAAACTTCCTTTGCAACTGCAAAGCTCATAAATGTAACAGAGATGCCGTAATAAAAGGCGCCACACAAAACTAATAACTAAAATATTTAATAAGATAATTCAACTAACAGCTATAAAAATCTCATGTGCACCCTGGGGGATCTTGTGGGACCCTATAATAAGTTCATGTGCAAGATCCTACAAAATCTTGTGGGATCTTACAAGAACCTACAAGTGAAATGAAAGGAATCAATGTCCTAGAGCACATAACAGCCCAAACGAACTGAGCAAGATGATTCGAGGTCTGACCGGATCTGTTAGAGATCCTACAAGATTCTTTACAGGATCCTACAAGATTCTTTACAGGATCCTACAAGTGTGCTAACAGGGTCTTCTTGATATCAAAGTGCGGGAGAAACACTTTTTAGTCCAAAGCATTGATCATTTTGGTACCCATCTGCTGGATCAGTCTAAGTCCAGTCCAGCAGTATTGTTCACAGTCGAACCCTCTGACCACAACCATCAGTGCTGCTCCCCAGGAGGCCCGACAGTGAGACCCATGCAGTCTGAACAGGATGCCAGGACGTTTGCACTGGAAGGCTACTACTGGAGCCCCAAGAATCTTACAAAATGCCATGTAAGATTTCTGGATTATGCACAATATGCTGTAGGATCCTTAAATTTATTATAGAAGATCTGTTCTTCTCCAGTCGGCTCAGGATTGCACACATCTCAATACGGAACAGAATACTGTATGAAATCCAACTCGAGAAGCCCCGACATTAACCCCACACGGTCCTCGTGACCAAGGTGTTCTTCGATAACGGCGCCCTGAAAGACCTCTTGCAAGAGTGAACGAGGATCTGGGATCTGATCGATATCACGCTCAGGCAACACTACAGAGAAAACAGGTTAAAAATGTATTTCACAGAGATCAAATTGTTTACCACTAATAGTGTTATATAATATCATTCAAACAGTTGCTTATATACAAAAGGCTGCAGCCGCCCCTTGAGCAACAACCATTCTGGTCACCATGGTGACCATTTCTGTCTTTGGGTAACAGAAATCGAATTTAAGGTTCCTACAGGTGAACACTTTTCTCACATGTGTTTTGCTCTCGATTCTCAACAGCAATCATCAGTTATGCATTAAAACCGCTTTACCTACAGCGTGCTCACAGACATCTGGGCTGTTTCCGCCTGCCTGTGCTGTGGGCGTCTCTGTCCATACGGGTCCTGGCGAAGGGGGTGTTGCGCACAATCGGTACCCACAAGCCACCAGGTAAAGCCGCTCGCGAACAGCAGCTGGCGAAACCCAAACGCTGCAGTTTGAAAGATGGCACCAGGCGGACAGAAGAAAAATACCACCTTTCCAGGGCACGTGGATCGTTTTATTTCAGAGGAAGACCTTCCCGTCTTCCTTCCACGTGTTCGCGTGGAGCCCAGCACTACGCGTTACAGCATCCAAATGTCCAAAGCTACTGTACAGAAAGGGTGGCAAGAGAAGGAGCTGCCCAGCCACGGTGGTGAATTTGCCCTGGCTTCCATCAAGGAGTGGCTGGATGTGTGAAAAAAACAAACATCTACTCCCGTTTGCAGCCGTTCTGATGGATCTTTAAAGAGATTTCTACCAGGGCAGCATTAAGATGATTCAAAAACCAAGAAAGCACCAAGAGGGACAGATATATAATAGCAGCAGTTACACATTATGGATTGGCATAATCCACAATTCCACAGACCTCACACGTTCTCCAGGAATTTGAGCCAGACTGGAGTCTGGGGTCCCTCAGCTGCTCTACTGTACTGCAGAAACAGGAGTATTTCTCTGCCTAAATCAAACTCTTTCAGCGGAAACAAAGATGGCAGTTCTGTTCACCACAGACCGCGTGCTCTCAGACAAGCTAACCAGACGCGCGCGGTAGCGTCTCACCCGTCCACGTCTCCGAAAGGCACCGCAGCCGTGCTCCGCCAGGGGGAACGGCCCGGGCATTCCTCCCGGACCGCCGTCGCGCCCGGCGACGCAAACGCTCGGCTCACTCTTGCTCCCGGAGCTGGACGCGGGTCCCAGCCCTGCTGCAGCTGTCCGGTCACTCTCGGGTCACACTAGAGGAGCCCCATGCAAGTGCGCCTGGAGCTCTGCCTGCTTCACACAAGCCCGTGAGTCACTCCCGCACTCCCTCTCATTCCAGGGCTTGTGAATCGGGCGGCCAGGCCCACCCCTGGATCAAATACAGTTCTTTTCATGCCACAGCACAGCCTTAGTTATCCTCCACAAAAACAAAGGGATTTCCTGCACAAAGCATGGAGCCGTGTAGGTGGTGAAGAACATCGCTGCGTGATCACAGCCAGCAGAACTCCAATACAACTGATCAGTTTATTCTCAAGAAATAAGCAAGGAAAGCAAGAGGTTTTAAACTACTGCTTTAAACGTTCAATGACATTTTGTTCTTATTCTGGGCAACTGTGTATAGGAGACAGCAAAGAGAAAGTCTCTCTGACTGAGTAAGAAAGAAACATCTCCTTCTAAAACACAAATCCAATTTGTAGCATTTCAGTGCAGTCAAGCAGTACAGCACATGCATTAGATCAGCCTTGTAACCTGAGGGCAAAGCAAAAACCATCCGTGAATTAACCCACTGCTAATATTTCTATTTCTGGGAAGACATTTTTAAATGTAATTATTTAACCTGGAAAATAATGTGCAGATATATTCTTGCGCTAGGTCTTAGAATTCCTTGACAGATTATCATGCCGGCTGCCTGAAAAATACAGCATTCGAGCAGACTGGGAGTCAGGGGTATTTAAATTTCTCCCAAAAAAAATCATCATCATCATCATCCTGACCCTCTTTGGAATGCAGTGTGCAGCACTGCTGTCGAACAACAGCACTGTGGCTGCCTCTCCATTCACACAGGCACTGCACAGGTGTATCTGTTGCCTTAAACTCAGGTGTGCTGTTCTAATTTAATTCTCAACACAGACGACTTGCCTTTGAAATGCAGGTTAATTAAAAGTATACATTTCTACACTACATTTATGTCCAGTAGTACTTCACCTAATAACTACCTGTACCACAGAAAGACACGAATGTATTACCCACAGTGACAGAAATGTTGGAAGTCTTTATCAGTAGTCTGCTGTACTCCTGACATTTACATATCTGCTAGAGAAAAAGAAATGCACATTTAAATATATTAGTTAAACACAAGTAAAAATATTTAAATATTGTTCTATGGGTTTTCTCTTAGAACTGCAACAACACCATCCTTGCATTAACTGTGCACTGCTGAAAAGTCGGGAGAGCTTTTCACATGAATAGAAGACTAAATGGGAAACTTGTTCAATCCGTTTTAAAGAATTGCATGTTGTCACGTAACATGCAGTAATAATGATAAGGGTTTCTGACAGTAGCAGGCTCATTAAGGGGGCTAGCATGTTTTAAACACAATAATTAACTCTATTTAACTCTCATCTGTAGATGAGTCAGCCTCTGGTATTTAAAACCGATTGGCATTTTTAATTGTGCTTGCTGAGGCTCGGGCTCTCTATTTTAGAGGCACTATCATAATCTTTTCCCAAAAAAGATGTCCTTTCATGTGGTGCTGTGGGTTTAGCGCTGCGTGCTAAAATTCAGAACTGCAGGAAGATTAAGCACATTGCCATTGAGAAACACAAGGGATTTCTCAACGTGTCCAATCACAAGCTGAAATTTCAAAATGTATTACTTCTGTTTTAGACCACTCTTCCTCCTCATACGCTCACTGAATGCTATCTATTACCAAACAGCAGCTACTTATCTCCAGTGTTTCTAGAAGAGGCTAGGACTGAGGGTTCGACGAGGTACTGTACAGTAGGTGCGCAGCTGTCTTGTGGTATTTCTACAGGGGGGAGATGAATGGTTGATGAGAAAGCTACTGAATCAGCACTGCACTTGATCGGCATGATGTTGTCATGAATGCCGCCTGGC